CTCTCTCTTCTAAAACTCTAGGTCAGTTCACTGGTCTGGTTCACACTGTATCCCACAAAGAGAAGTACCAGAATAACTGAGCAAGTGCATACCACAGTTGTGAGGGCAGAAAGAGCAACTGGCAGGATGAGGAGGAAGAAGCAGTGGAAACTTCCCAATTGATGTGGCTCAAGTTCCTGAATCGTGAAATCACAGCTTTAGTGTAACATTCTGTAGATCTGTCCTTTCATTTCTATTTGTTTCATAAACAGTCTTCAAACTGAGGCTTTCAACCATTAGCTGTTTTTCAGAATTTTCTTTTTCTTTTTGGTCAAAAATGCAAAGCCACCAAGTAGTCAAATTGTGTTACAGAAGTGTTAGTACATCTTTTTAAAGAGTTAATCTTTAAAATTATCTTGGTACTCTCCAAAGTTCTGCCTGAAAGTGTCACCAAGTCACAGCATTAATTAGTATAGTCAGAGGAGGATGGGGCAAAATGGTGTTTGCTGCTGGAAAGTAGTTATATTTCGATTACCAAAGCATAAAATGCTCTTTCTTGTAAGTTCCATACTGACATTTAAAGGACAACTATCTGAAGAATAATCTACAAGGGTTAACAGATGTAATAGTGGAGGGAATAAGTAAGGCAGGACAATGATGAAAGTACTATGTTCACACATCTACTTATCTACAGAGGCTATATACGTAGCTGAATGTAAGAGATGACTGTTGGACTTCCTAGAGTTATATGTCGGCCTGGTTCCTTTTATTTTTTTTCCTTTCCTCTCCCCTCCCTCCACCCTGACAAAATGACCTTAGTTGCAAAGCCTTCTACCCTTTTCTTTCCCACTTTGCATAAATAGATGTGGGGTGTTTTTTTCTCTTTTTCATATACTTTACCATCCAAATCTTTTTTACTTAACTGGCATGGTCTGTTTGATTGAAATGGATAATCATCTGTCTTCCCAAGCTGAAGAATACAAATTATGGACCATATTTGAACTACCCTGCCCAACTCCTTACTGAATTGGCCAAATCAGTCATTCATGTTTGTCCTGGAAAAAATGAGTTAGAAGTGTTTTTTACATTGGAAAAAAACCCCAAGCAAATATGAGATTGTACTTTTTCTTCCTTCTTACCCCTTATATCTTCCTTTTTACAGAACATTAAAGGAAGAAATTGAAAGACATTTAGACTAATAAAAAATGCCTGAATGTTTTACTTCTCTATTAAAGGTGAAAGTTGGGATTGCAAAAGAGTCACTTTAAGCGGTTCAAATTGCATACTCCTTACTTGTTTTTTGAGGGCTAATTTTTAGGACAGATATCAATTACATTCCTGTAAAAAAAAAGCTGTTTTCAATGATGACTACAATATGCTGTCATGAAATTAAATATTTCTGGAAATATTTTGAGTGGTTATTTTCACATTATTACATAATGCTTCTTTTAGGAGACACAAATGCTATTTCAATTGTTTTTCAGAAACAGAAGGAATCCAACTGGAAATTTGTGGAAGAACTCCTTAAAAAATCCACTGATGCTCAAGTAAGTGTGTAAAGGAAGGAATAATGAACAAGTAAAGTGTCTGGGATGGTTTCAGGAAAAGAGTGCATGAAACAAGTCCAACTTACAAGTGTATTTTTGAAATTCTAGTGTTTTTATCACTGGTTAATGAACATCCTTGATGTAGCTAAACTATGACAGTATACAGTCCCCTCCTTGTTAGCAGTTACACTTGCTTTAAAATGGTTGTGCTTGATGCTAAATTGTCAGGTAACAAAAAAAGGTAATTATCCTGGAAGGATAGGTATATGGCTACTCAGACAAGATGTATTCAGAATAAGAACTGGAACCTTAGAAAATGTAAACCTGATAGTGAATGTAAGGATATCAAGTTGAGGAGACATGATGAAGGAGATAGTCAGTTGCATTGGAAATTCAGCTATATCCTCATCACAGCAGGAAGGTGACTTGCCTTGCTGAGCAATTTGTCTTACAGGCTTGAATCAAACTCTTACTGATAAGGTTCTAGTTTCTGAGCACTCATTTCATACCTTATCATTTTTCTTTCTGCAGAACTGTTAATGCAATGCTTCATGGCCCAGAGGTCAAAATTGACCTCCTTTTAAAATTCTTTTAAATATGCTGTTCATCATGTTTTAAAATGTTACATTATAGTTCTCTAAATTTGTTCTGAAGTTGCATGGTACAAATCACAAATGTTGTATCAGCAACACCTATAAAAATAATTTCTTTATTTGTGTATGTTTAAGAGAAGAATAAACGTGATTTTTTTTAATTTGGTCTCATGAAATTAAGAAAACTCCCACAAAGTTCTGATATTGAAAGCAATAGAAGAACTAGTTCCTTAGGTTTTTTTAATTATTTTTACTTCTTTGCCTGTGTAGTAACAACAGCTGTAGTTGAAGCTGGAATACAGAACAATACCTGTTTCAACTACAGTTTTTACAAGAAAATATTTGGGGGTTTTAGGATAGTTGAAATGATTGCATGATTTTTCAGCTTCTTTATGCTCTATACTTTTACACTTGGTTATATCTTCTTTCAGCTTAAAAGATTAACTCTTTCTGAATGATTATACAGTACATAACTGAAAATACAAACTGTGCATATACAATAAAACCACAGTAATGACGTTACTTATTGGAGAGAAACTGGAGAGATTTACATTAGATAAGATGAATAAAAACTAAGTAGCTTATTAACCATCTTCTTATGTTGCATCTTCTGCACTTCAGCAACCTGAGAAAGAGTAAGAGGACATTTGTAGTTAACATTTTTTTCTTCAAAATAGTCTTCTTTGCTTGTGAATGTTTATTATTTTGAATAAAGATTACTTTGAAGTTGAATATACCTGGAATACACAGTTTCTGATGTTTCTGTTAAACAATTATTTGAACTGTAGACAGTTTAGAAAGGCAGCTAGGTGGCCAAGATCAAAAGCGAAGATGTGTTTTAATTTCCAAAGGCAACCACTGCTGGAATTAAAACAAACCTTCATTTGCCAAGGACATGGTTGTAACTATTTTACCAGCCACTGAAGGAGCCATCTAGTTTATTTCCTTTTTTTATTTGTTCATTATCTTTTTCTTGCATTATGGAATTAGCTGCCTGTGGGATGTGCTCCTTGGGGTATATTAGTTCCTATATGTGCATGCACGAGTGAATGTAGCACTTTATGAAGAAATGCATCTTGCTCCCTATCCCTTCACAGCAGCCTTCTTGACAGTGTCTAGGAAGGAGATTTTCTTTTACCAGCATACACATCCGTCTCCTCTGCTGATCTGTCAGCTTTAAGTGGCCACTCCTGTGGTTTATCTTATCCTTTTGCATCTCTTGGGTATTTTTGAGTCCACAAAACGTAGGAATGAGAAGCACAATGAGATATCAAGAAGTCATGGAATGGAATGTGGAGTCAGTGAAATGGAATGTGGAAAAGCAGGAAAAAGCAAAAGGGAGAATAGTGCTCTTTGATTGAACAGCAGGATAAAATTGATGATATTGCCTATTAGCAGTTGGCTTGAGTTCGTTAGTTAATCCTATCTGAACCATCCTTTGCAGCATATACTCTCTGTTATCTTTACTACAGATACACAGCAATATCTGTGCAGTATAAATTAGAAGAAATAACAGTGCTGAGCCACTCATTTGCTAGAGAGAGCAGGAATTCCTGGTTAGCAACTTCATTTTTAGGTATATGGGACCTTAAAAATGAATCATGTTTAGTACTATGTCTATCAACTTCATAATCCACTTGTACTTGTTGCTCCCTATCTTCAAAAGCTTCTTCAAAAGAAGAATGGGAATTTACAAAGAATGGGGGAAAAACAAAGATGATGTCAAGTATGCATAGTTTTATGTGTTCCAAAGCATCTGATAAAGGTGCTGAACATGTATTTGTAATCTAAATTGATAATCTCCTACCAGTAACTGTTCTCTTCATGTGAGCTTCAAATTCTATGTTGTGAAAAGATAATTTAATAGTCACTGTTGCAGCCATTGAGGGTAAGGGAGCATCATGAAAGTAGAGAAAAGAATGGTCACCTCTGATGGTGAATCAGCAGAAGCTGGAGTTACCTTTAACGTGCTTAGGGCAGCTAAGTGTTGGGACACCAAAATGATTAACCAGTGTTTAACCTGCAGCGCTTTGGTTGTTTCAGTAATACTGTTGAGTTTAGAGATCACGTGCTGACAGGAGAGAGCCTGAGCCGCCTTCATCCAGGATATGCTGGATTTTGGGTGAGATAAAGACCTCCCGAAGAAGGGGTGCACGTACAGGTGACGGTGGTAGAGGGGTGCTGCAATGCCCTGTCACCAGATAGAAACTCCTTTATAAGGTTACACTCAGCCTGGTGCTGAGCAAGGAAAAGATGTGAAGTTCCTGTTCAGATTAGGAAATCAGTTGGGATGAGAAATAAAAATACTCTATTTGTGAGAAGATAGGAGGAATCACAGATATGTGGGAAAGTGTAGTGTGCCGCTTCCTTGGATATATCCTTTCATCTTCAAACAGTTGATAAACAGGTGAATTCTTCAGTCAGAAATTGTCTCTTTTTTAATTCTTAATGGATTAGAGTTGAAGACATTTGCTCTTTTGAAAAATTTCCCATCTGTATCACAAGAAATGGGCATTTTTGGGGAGACTAGTTATACGAGGTGTTTCCTTCTGTTGTAATTTGGAATTCTCTTACTGGGTTTTAAAACTCGCGAAGCTGGTTTACAATTCTATTTGTATTACAAAATGAAAATTGTTGTAGGAATGTTAGCGTAGCTGTATTTGTCTATGAGGCAACAATAAACTGACTAAATTTATGGAATGTCAGTATAGGATGAATTTGTGTTTGTGAAGTTTTATTGTGAGAATCAAAAGCTTTTTAATTCTTAAGCACTAATAGCAGTCTCTTATTAGACTTCTCATTTTAGAAAATAAGTGTGTCATGTTGTTTCACTTCTGCCTCGATTGTGTTATACCTCCACTGTATTTTTTGTTTAATTCTACTTTAAAAAAGATATAGAAGTACTTGTTGGATTTGTAGAAAACCAATTTTGTTACTACAGTAGGAGGTCATAAGAGAAAAATGTTGTGTTTAGATAGTACTATCATTTTGATAATATCTGGTGTTCCTACCTTCTGCGATAAATTAAAAACTGAGTACCTCAAGAGTTCTGATAGTATTTCCAGCAGTGCAAGAAACCATTTTAAGCAGAAGAGCAATGAGAAAATCCATTAATCCCAGGGATATTTGAAGTCTGGAGAACTTCTTCATATTAAATTTGAGATAAAGCCTTCAGTATGATCTTGGTTTTGGAAACTGTTCTAAAACTATTGTTGGACAGATAAATAATGGTTCGAGTTGAAACTGCTTACAATGCCATGTTTATTGTTGAATTAATTTGACTGAAGCAGTCATTGTTTGTTGAATTAGATCCTAAACATAATCCTAGACACAAGATAATAGCTTTAAGACTAAAGGGAGTGGTTTGGTGTTCGGGGGTTTTTTTACTTCTTTTGTAACTGGGTAGATCCCTCTAGAGAAATAGATATGCTCAGCTGCAGTTTTTTGTTTTATATCAAGGCTTCTGCTTTTATTAATTAAAAAATAGCACCTGTTCTGTCCCTTGTTTTTTAGGTGCAAGATTGTGATTTTCAGGAAGTCTACTGATTTAGTAGTTAGTTATGTCATATCTGAAAAAAATACTTGACTATCCTTTCATTTGTAGGTATTTTTATTGTATTTGAATTATTATTCTGTATATTTTTAATGAGTCTACTGGAGAGTCACTTTTCTGTTTCAGTGGGTTTTATATGTTATCCATAATGTCTTGAATATATGATTTTCTATGACAACTGAGAACGCCTTTTCAATTTGCAGGTTGTTTTAGAAATGTACCACTTTAGAAGCCATATGTTCATGAGAAGAGAAGGCAGGCGTGGTTAGAAGTTATTGTAGGTGATTGTATAATTGTTTAGAGCATTTTGATAAAGTGTACCAAATGAGGTTTTCCACATGAATGTGTAGCCAGGTAGAGATAAGTTAGTGAGTGAGACTCATATGTGTGGCATTGAAAACAGGAATAAAAGCAGCTCTAAAACACAGTAAGCCATAAGAAGTAGTATTGTGGGTAAGACCAGAAGTCACAGGATGGTTTAGATTGGAGGGGACCTTAAAGATCATCTAGTTCTAGCCCCTCTGCCATGGGCAGAGACACCTTCCATTAGACCAGGTTGCTCAAAGCCCTTTCCAACCTGACCTTGAATACTTCCATGGATGGGACATCCACAGCTTTCCTGGGCAACCGTTTCCAGAGTCTCACCACCCTCACAGAAAAGAATTTTTTCTTAATATCTAACCTAACTGTACCCTTTTCCAATTTAAAGCCATTCCCCCTTGTCCTATCACAAGGACAAGGTAAAAAGCTTACAAGGTTTTAGCTCTTGTAAAAATCCCATTCTTCCAGTAGCAGGTATTTATTGAAGGACTTTTTCAAACAGCAACAAAAATAACCAAGCAACCCCCTAAAAAGAACCAACACAAAAATCCCCAACAAAAGCCAATAAAACCTAACATTATCTTTTTCCATCACCTGGCATTAGTAATTTATTTAGGAATTTTCTGAGTTGGGTGAGCTTGGGATATAATTCAGGACCTAGCACTGTAATTGAAATTGAAGGAGATAACTTCCCAGTATTTATCTGAGGCATAGTTGTCTTCATTCTCCTTCCTGGGGCTATGATTTTGAGTCATAAAATTAATCCTGTATATTTTTTTATATTTCTTACTACTTTTCTTCTTCTTTAGCTTATTTTATGCTGTTAAAAATTGCAGGCCTGTGTAGTATCTAGATTTATTTGAAAGCTAGAAGTAGGTCAGAGTTTCTCTTGTCACAGAACAAGTTGCCACTATGACAGAGATGCGTTACACTTACATGTGTAAAAGTGTACCCTTAAGACAACTACACACAAGTTGTCCACGAAACCAGTTTTATAGTCAATGAAGACAATGAAGGCAATTACAGGACTACTAAAATAGATGTCTAAAATAAGCTGAGTAAAACGCATGATTTCAGTTGGAGTATTCAGAAGCTCCTAGTATATGACCTCTGATGCAAGTCCAGTTTTGTTATCAAAAGCTGGATGAGAAGAATTCCACTCTCAATATCCCACAATTACAAGCTGAATGCTTCAGAGTGTTCAAATTGTTTGGTACTTCCTGTTTTCTTTCCTAGAAATCTTCTTCCTTTTGAATACAAAATTTGGAACACAAAAAATGTTGTGTGGGAAGTCTTATGTACTTTTTGTTTCCCCAGTGTTCAGAGGCTTATTTACCCTTGATTTAGAGTTTTCTGGAGTGTCAGCAATATAGACATGTTCCAGAGGTTTGAGAAGGAACATGATTCAGAAACAAAAGACCTTCCTCTTTGGAATATTATAAAGAGAAACATGAATTCTTAGATGGTTGCACCTCCCCTCTGTGTCAGTGGTGAATGAGCTTTTCTTGGGATGTATGTTCCTTGGGACATATGTTCCAGAAACAACTGGATGTGGCACTCAGTGCTGTGGTTTAGTTGACATAGTAGTGGTCAGTCAAAGGCTGGACTTCATTATCTGAGAGGTCTTTTTCAACCTAAATGATTCTGTGATGCACTATTACATTGACTGGATTACAGGATACAATTGTCAGCTTTTATCTTCTAGTTTGTTGCTTGTATTAGCAGATCATTTACTCAACAGTATATAATTAAAAATAATTTTTATATTAGGAAATTACTTTGAATAGTCTGTTAGTATTGGGCTTATGTGTAGATAAGGTAATGCTCCCCTCCTAAAATTAATTTCTTACTTCCTTTTCAAGACTAGTGTGTTAGAGGAACATTTAAGAATGCATCTTCAGTGCTGTTTGACTTTGTGTAGTTTCTGGGATTTGAACCTATCTATTGTCACCATACTCTGGGATTATTACAGCAAGAATCTGGTGAGTAGATTAATATATGAAAATACAGAATTGCATGTGGGCAGTCCTTGAATTTTACTGATTAATTCTGATTTTCCTGTAGCCAAGCTTGATTGCAAGTACTTCTGTAAAACTACCTAGTCAATGGCAGTGTCCCTAAACTTGCTATTTATTTAATGAAATCGTGTTTAAATTTATACTTTGGTCCATTACATTATGTGTCAAAGAATAAGTTATATTTTTATTCTTACTTTTTGTCAGGACTCCTGATTTTAAGATCTTGTAAAAACATTTCCTACATAATTACAATAAATTTCTGGGGTTTAGTTGTGGTAGGAATATATCCTTTTGTTTGTGTGAAGGATTGCATCTCACTGCATTTGGAATATTAGCATTTACTGTTATTTATAATCTTTCTGTTTTCATTTATTCTTTTAGAACAGTGGCTTTACTGTTCCTTGGCTTGGTCTGAAGGATCTGGCAAACATTAGTAAGACTTCTTTGTCAATGCTTGAGTTGGTGAAAGGTTGCTGCTGCGAACAGCAGATCCCTTCTCTGTACAAGTCCAGCAACAGTTACTTCATTTTTCTCTGCATTTTGGCACGGATGATGAAAGAAGAAAACAGTGGCATGCACCCTTGGAAACAAATTAAAGGACGGTATGGCCACTGTTTAGTTTCTCTCCTGTTGTAAGAACTGTAGGGAGTCAGTGACCCTTCTAGCCACAAGCAGTTCCCTGAAGTTTCTGTTGCCAGCTGAGGTTGTAACAGGATCCAAGAGCTGGGTCCAAGAATCACCTTGGCATCCATAGCCTGTGATGATTTACTTTGTCCTGCTGGCCAGGAGTTTGGTACACTGGCAACCTATGCAGTGGTACAACCCAGTTGCCAGACAGGTAATGTAATAAAAGCACAGAAATTGTGTTTGAACCGCATATAAGCCATGTGTTGTCCAAGAACATGCAGACTGACACTTGGTAGGCCTGCAATTTCATTTATATTTAGTTTCTTTTTACTGATTTCCAAAATTTCTCGCAATATTTTTTGTGAGGGTTTTAATTTTTTGCTTAATTTTGAAACATACTAATTAAGAATTATAGTCAATCCTTATATAAAAATACCTCAAAATATATATGATCTAAATCAAACTCCTAATGTTTTATATGCTTACTGAATCCCTGAGACTTTTATTATAGTAATGAGATTGTACTAATTATTACAAGTGCTAACTTTTAAAATTTTTTCATTAGATCTGGAAGACTTAGAATTAGTTTTGGTTTACAGTTTTTTTTAAAAAAGATCGTACTAAGTATTAATAAAATTAATTAAAATTTTAGTAAATATTAGATCTTTGTGTATGCAGGTGATAAATACATAAGAAGCTGCCCATGAGTATGCATACCTCACCAAGTTATATGGTGTCTTTTCCAAGAAAGCAGGGTTATTTTAGCTATCAAAAGAGTATACCTGTCAAAAATGTAATGTCTATGTACACTTTACAAGTTGTTACAGTCGGTAAAGTTTGGGTTTTAAAATCACTACAACTACATAGAAACAACTATGTTGGATTTCATATCAGTGTCTTGCTTTATTTTGTGATTTTAATTAGCCTACTCTGTTCTTACTGAAAGAAAATTATATTTACATTTTTGTGCTATTATAGCTTGTTGCTTTCCCTAATTTAAGAGGGGGAATAATAATACACAACACTCAGTGCATCAGTCTGCTCAGCCAGTATTCATAATTTCTACCTTGAAAAAACCAATTACACAAGTAGCAAAATTTAACAGCCTACAGCTATGATTTTGGGATGAACTCTGTTTTCGGTGGCTAACCAAGTATTAATTGATGCATGAAAAACGTAAATGCCTGTCAGTAGTAATTTACTACTAAACAACATTAATTGGATTTGCTGTAATTTTTGGTGGCTAGATTTGATAACTTCAGCACCATTTCCAACTATTTTTCCAGGTGACAGAGTAGGAAAACAGCAGTTATGACAGTTTAACTAGTGTATGTGGAACTTACTTTAAATTAAAGGTGAAGGGTATACCCAAGATTTTAAACCTACAAATCAAAAAGTCAAGCAAGCCATTTTCATCTTACTCCTCTGTTGTAGGAATGATGACATTTATTTAAAACTCCAGACCCAAGCAAAGGTCACAGAAAAGATGTCTTTGTAAAAGCTTTCTGTTTTTGTCAACCACTTTAAAGTTCCAAAGTAGCAGTGCTTTTCACCATCAGCTACTTATGACTTGAGCACTGTCCCATAAGCGATACAGGTAAAGTTTACCATCTTCCTGCTGGAGAGAGGTTTCTCTTCCAAATGCCTTAGTTTCCCTGTTTTCTTCCAAACTTGTAGTCCACGGTTCATTCCGTAGGCGTGCAATACAGGTTGATACAGACTTTGCCAAAGTACTGTGGAGAAAAGAATTTTCTTTTAGAAATATTCCTCTCCCTTTTACTGCAGTGATGGTTTGGTAGGTGAGACTTTGATCACAGCAGCTGTGGAAGTATACCATAACAGAAACCAGTAGCTAATTTTCACTTGGAAATTAGGGGGTTTCCAGGGAAGAAGTTGCAAAGAGCTGCCGCTTGGCAGCATTCTTTCCTAGCAGCCCTCATGGTCTAAACTTGATTGATTTGAAGGCATGGAGGACACCCATCAAAAGCAGAGAGAGTCTAGACATGTACATGGTGCTCAACTGTGTACTAAAGGTTGGATGGGGAGAAGGATTAGGCTACACCTCATATTGGAAACACTTAACATGTAGCTTAAAATAGGAGCAGAACATGAAGGAGCACATTTGTTGCAGTAGCCAAAAGAAAAGGAGAGAGAAAAAAGGGTATTCCAAATTTAAGCGTTATTGGAAGAGGATAACTGCAAACTAAAAGCATGAAAATACAATTTTAATCTCTCAAGGAGATAGAAAAGTTAAGAAACTTACTCTTTGCTGGTTTTTTTTTGTTCGTTTCTTTGCTTTTCTTAATGTAGAATTTATTCCAAGTTCCATCGCAGAAGAATGCAGGAGCTGACAGAATTGGGACTGCAGAACTTTTTTAACCTGTTCCTCATGCTAGCAATTGTTGCGGAGACAGAAGATATAGTGAGTCGAGTGTTGGATCTTTTGGACTTCCTGGCTCCATCCTCCATCACTGTGTCTCAGAGAGCTCTCATCTGGAGAGGTCATTTTGCTTTCCTTTTGATTTATGTTGAAAAGAACATGGACATTAGCGTCCTAGCTGAGAAAATCTCAAGTGCTTTCCGTGAGAAGGCAAAGGAGTTTTTAGTAAACAAAAACGACTACACACAGAGACACAATCTCTGGACTCTACTTTCGACCTACATTGATGGTGTCCAGGAAGTGTTTGAGACTAGCTGCTACTTGAGCCTTTCTGAGGAAAAGTTGCTAAATGATGGCTTTACTATGCTGCTGCCTGCTTGTCGAGGAGCTGAGCTGAGCATGGTCCTGAATTTTCTTCAGGTTGTACTAGCCAGACTTCGGTAAGTTGTTTAGTTAAATTGTGCACATAGACTGGCATGTTGTTTTTGTTTTTAGGGTTAAACTGTAGTTCATATTCATTTTTTACTGAAATAGAGTAAAAGGAAAGAGAAATCTCTGGAGGGCTGTGAATGATATGTTAAATTTCAAAATCCACCAATACTTCAGTGCATTTCAAAACTCAGAAATTTTTCCTTACTGTTTCAGGAGATTAGGTTTGACATCCTGAGATTTTGTTATGAATGAGTGGCTCTTTAGAAAGTCATCCAGTTGCTGCTATTTCAGACAATATCATCTTTCCTTTGGGACAGGGAACTTCAAAATTATTTTCTGTATTAAATTACTTAAGTGGGGGGGTGGTGTTTTTTTGGGTTTGTTTCTTGACTGAATGTATTCTGTTTTTCAGACTCTTCATTCTGTTTTTTTCTCTTTCACCAAGGTTGCATTCAAATACCACAGTTATGGAGATTTAAATACTTGTCTGGGGTTCAATAGGAAAGAAGAAAATCATATTTTACCACTTCAAGCAGTTTTGCTTTGATGTACTAGTTCATTTTTCAACATCCGCAGTGCCCTTCAATAAGCATATTTTTTGTCTACTGATGCCTTTGAGAAGCAGTTCTCCAGTTTGAAGCCCAAACTACCTTTTTTTTATAAGATATTAAGAGGCAGCTATTGATCTGCCATTACTTGAAATGTGCAAGACTGAAATATGTGTAAAGAGCTGTGGAAGAGTACATAATAGGAATACTGAGGCCCATATGCAAGATCTCTCTTTAACTAGGTCCTTTGTTATTGTCTAGTAGTTTGACTGCAGCTGTCAATAGCTTATAGATCCAAAGACAACTGTTTTTCAGGCAGCCTTTTGAAAAAAGATGAAGCACAAAACTAAGTTTAGTTGATTTATTATTTATTATTTCAGTTCAACTGAATGTATTTCCTGGAATAAATTGGAGACTTCAAAAATACTTTGACATTTTCTCCATTAGCTAATGCACAGCATTTGTTTTGTTGTTTTTAAAGATGAAATAGGGAGAAATTTGAGACTGGTGAAAAAGTTGCCTATTTCATAACTTGGCATTATTTCAAAAGCTTTCTAGGACTGGGGGTTATGTTGCCCTCTTGTAGCATAGAGAGGAGGGCATAGAAGTTCATTCCAGACTTCTCAGCTCACCACAAATGAGGTACAGGACATTATTTGTACCTTTTCTTACAAAAAACAGTTCTGCTGAAATATTTTAATTATCAACATACTTAAATAGTAATCGATATGAGGGAGATTATTGGAGTCTTGCTTTTAATGGTTCTTTATTGCAGCTTCTGTATTTGTACATTTGGTTACTGTTATCAGCCTATTTATCCCATCTACAGAGAAACTTAATTCCTGAACATTTAGCTCTACTCTGTGCTGGTGCAACTTCACCTTGAATATTGTGTGCAGTTTTGGGCACCATAATATAAGAAAGATATCAAGCTGTTGGAGGCTGTCCAAAGGAGGGCAACAAGGATGAAGGACCTTGAGGGGAAGCCAGATGAGGAGTATCTGAGGTCATTTGGTCTGTTCAGCCTGGAGGATACTGACAGGAGACCTCTTTCCAGTTACAACTTCCTTGTGAGGGGAAGAGGAGGGGCAGGCACTGATCTCTTCTCTGTGGTGAACAATGACAGAACCCAAGGGAATGGCCTTTAGTTGTGTCAGGGAAGGTTTAGGTTGGATATTAGAAAAAGTTTCTTCACCCAGCGAGTGGTTGGGCACTTGAACAGGTTCTCTAGGGAAGTGGTCACAGCACCAAGCCTGTCTGAGTTTGGAGGTACTCTTGGACACATGGTGTGACTCTTGGGGAATGGTCCTGTGCAGGGCCAGGAGTTGGACTTGAGGATCCTTGTGGCTTCCTTCTAACTTGGCATATTCTGTGATTAAATACTTTGATCTTCAGGTTGTATGGAACACAGAAATATTACTGATTCTCTCTCCCACTTGGACAGACTCACTGAAAATAGTCCTCTGTTGCCATGCAAATAAAACAACACTAAAATCACTTCCTTGGTTCAAAAGATGTGGATGACTTTGTGCTAACCATATGTTCAACTATTATTGGCTTGACTGGACTGATTAGGCCTGTCTGTCTGCAGACTGAAAAAAGGATCAAATGGTTCAATGCCCTTTTTTAAAATCCAGGCTGATATAAGCTACTAGGACTTTCATAAATGTAATTTCTCTGTGCACTGCAGTCTAATAATTTTATAATTGTATGACAGAGAATTTACAGGTAGGAAGGAAGTGAGATTACTGATTAAAGAGAGAAGCAGCTCCCTCTAGGCTGTTAGGAAATAATGACTTCATGTGCCACTTTCTGCTAACCCCAGATGATGGCTCACAGGAGCATTCTTTATTGCTGATTAAGTAGCATTATGAAAATACTGACTTGGTTACATTAACTAAATGCCTCAGTATTTTAAGCTTAAAATAGCAAATAGTTTTAGCAATCCCCTTTAACATGTCTTGTTGGATTGCTGGAATCTCACTCCAGGTTTCCCAGTTGCTTTTCTTTGAGGATACGGTAAAAATTCCAGTCTTTCATTTTCAGATTGAGGTGTAGCCAAAAGCTCTTCTTTAATTATAGCTATTCATGCTGCTATAGTTAAGGTCTGTCAGCATTTCCATTATAAACCTTTATTTTCAAGGGTTTGTAACACAGCAGCGAAAACTTGCTCTGGGCTAAAACTTGGCATACAAGGGTTTGAAAGTGCACTTGTTTTCTTTCTTTTTTTTTTCTTAAAAGGCATCTGAAAAGAGATCCCCACCTTCACCATTGTTACACTACTGTGTTTCAAAATAACCCTTTCCAGATTTTTCTTGTATTTTACTTGTCTGCTAGAAAAGTGCTAGTAGCTTTTGGTTGTTGTATTTACCTATGCTTAGACTGTTTAAAATAAGCTTTCTTAATCCACTTTTCTTATTGATTGTTACCATTATGATTATTTTGGTGTCTATCTATTTAAATAGAACTATGACTTGGCAGGAAAATTCATTTTTATCAGTTTTTGATATGTGGTGACTGGATAAGTGGCACTTGCAAGTATTTGATCTTCATAGTGAGATTCAGTATGAACTGTAAGGTTGTATTTTAATACAGTCTCCTTTTTTTTTTTTTTCCCCTGTTTTTAAGCAGTGTTTTAGAATCTTGTTTTTTTTTTTTCCCTTTTTTTCCTGAAAAGTAAATGCAGGATGTTTGCCCATGTGTGCTTTCAGTTGTTCCAGATCTCTTGCACTACCTGTCATCTGCGTGTCTGATGGCACAAAAAGAAAAACCCTAGGTTAATAAAAATATGGCATTAAATGGATTTGACAGAACTTGCTGTAAAAACGGACACAAGACTTGGAGAAATCTGCTGTAGGTTCTGGCACTTCAATATGTTACTCTTAAAAGAAGTGTTTGAAACATGCAAAAATGTCTTTTATTGCAGTCAGTTATTGCTGCTCTGACATGAGCATTCTCTTACTCTCGTCACCCTGGCATTTAGGTTTTGTGGTGTGTTTAGGACAAAGTTACAGGGCTATAAAATGTGAGTACGTGCCCAGGTGTAAAATCACTGCTGTGCTCCAAGCATCTTTGCCTAGTTTCAGGGGGACCTGCTACTAATTCTCATAGCAGAAATGAGAAGTACCACAAACCTTAATACCGTAATAAGCAGTAATTTTATTTTGAAAACAATTCTTGTGTATTTATGCCCATTTGTACTCTTTTGGATGATTTTTTTTTTAAATGTTGCTTTGTTAATTTCATAAGCTCACTAGGTAAACCTGTGTCTAGTTGGAAGTTGCATTAATAATTGGGCCACGGATAACAGCAGAACTCGATGTTTCCATCTGTAGAGTGTGTTTAGCCTTGAGGTTGTAAGAGAAATCACGATAGGAATGGATTATCCAGTATATCTTTGCTATGGAAATGTATAGTCATTTGTAATTTTTTTTGCGTAGTACTTGCCATCAAAATAGCCTGTGGGAAGCTTTTCTGAGACCAGCAGAGGCCTCTCTCCCCCTCTCTGTTACCGTGTAAGTCAGCAGATAAGCTCAGAAGAATAGAAAGGTCCTCCCTCCTTCTTTTCTTGCCCCTCAGGGGTTTTAGTGTTAGTCTTTGCAAAATCTTTTTTCTGATGTTGAGCTTCTGAAAACTATATTCAGAAGAGTTTGGAAGAGCATGAGTCTTCTCTTACCCATCCCATCCTGTGAAGATATTTAGAGCTACCACCTGCGATGTCCTGATAAGCACAGAAGGCAATTCTGTGACTAAGCCACTGAACTGAGGGTCAGATGATGTTAGTTTGGCTCTGAGATCTCCCAGGCTTAATGAATGACCCTTAGAAAGTCATTAAAAGTTGCTATGAATTTTGTTTACCTCTGTGAAAAACATGAAATAAATCCTTCCTTTTTCACTGCACAACATACATCTTATGCTTGGGAAGCAAGCATGCCTTGCTGTGCTAACTTGACCTATGGCTTAAAGTATTTTTAGTGGTTTTGGTTTGGTTTTTTTTTTTTTTTTTTTAAATTCAGGTGTTCCATAAATAAAACTGATGTTTGAATGACTGCAATAAACATCTAGTCTCTAAATGCTTTAATGCATGGGAAGCAAGCACTGCTGTAGAATATAGCAGCATTTTGAGAGGTTTATTGTGTCTAAATCCTTAAAAATAATCTGTTACTCTCTTATGAGGGAATATTGTGTGTATTCTACAGTTGTTGTCTTAAGGTGTGGCTCTTACAATTAAAACTGAATTTTCTTTTCCTCTTCTGCCTACCTTTTTGTTGAGGTTCTTAAATAACATTTTACACCTTTGTCCCTTGTATTCTGATCTTCAATGATGACTAGGTAAAACTCATATGTGTTTGGATTTTTTCCTCTGAGAATATTACTGTGCAAAGGAGTGAAATGAGCAGCCATGTACCTGATACTTTGCTTACAGAAAGTTCCTGTGTATGTATAGCATTGGTTCAGGT